TCACAGGTCAAAAAGAAAATATTGCAAGCAGCCAGAAAGAAACAACTCAATTATTGTGGAAACATAATCAGGATAACACAAGATTTAGCAACTTATACAGTAAAGGACCAAAGGGCTTGGAATATCATATTCCTGGAGAGCAAAGGAGACAGGATTACAACCAAGAATCACCTACCCAGCAAAACTTAATATAATCCTTCAGGGCAAAAAATGGACATTCTGTGAAATAGAGGACTTTCAAGCATTCTTGATGAAAAGACTAGAGCTGAATAGGAAATCTGACTTTCAAATATGAGACTCAAGAGAAGCATGAAAAGGTAAAAAGGAAAGGGGAATCTTAAGGGATTTATTAAAGTTGAACTGTTTATATTCCTACATGGAAAGATAATATTTGTAACTCATGGGACCATCGTCACTATTAAAGTAGTTGGAGGGGAAAAAATATACATATATACATTCATACATATGTGTATATATATATATATATCATACACACATACACCCACATACACACACACACACGTGTGTGTATATATATATGTATATATATATACATATATATATATATACACACACACATATAGAGAGAGGGGTGGAGAGAGAGAGATGGCAGAGGATGACCTGAAGATGAAGGGGTGATACCTAAAAAATAAAATGAAGGGGTGAGAGAGGAATGTACTGGAAGAAGGAAAAAGGGAGAGGTAGAATGGGGTAAATTATCTCATATAAAAAGAGGAAAGAAAAAGCTTTTACAGTGGAGGGAAGAGGGGGAGGTGAGAAGGAATGAGTGAACTTTACTCTCACTGGATTTGGATTAAGGAGGGAATAGCAAACACACCCAATTGGGTGTAGAAATCTATCTTAACCTACAGGAAAGTAGAGGGGAAGGGGATAAGACAGGGAAGGGTGATAGAAAGGAGGGCAGATTGAGGGAGGGTATATTCAGAAGCAAACATTTTTGAGGAGGGACAGGTCAAGGGAGAGAAGAGAATAAATAGGGGCCAGGATAGGATGGAGGGAAATATAGTTAGTCTTTCACAACATGACGATTATGGAAGTGTTTTGCATGACTACACATGTATAGCCTATGTTGAATTGTTTGCCTTCTCAATGAGGTGGGTGGGAAGGGAGGAGGGGAGAGAATTTGGAACTCAAAGTTTTAGAAACGAATGTAAGAAATTGTTTCTGCATGCAACTGGGAAATAAGATACACAGGCAATGGGGTATAGAAATCTATCCTATATATAGATTTCTATATTTCTATATTTCCCTACAGGAAAATAGAAGGGGGTGGGCTGATAGGAAGGTAGATTAGGGGAAAGGGTATTCAGAATGCACTCTGTCTTGGGGTGGGGGTGGGGTGAGATGGGGAGAAAATTTGGATCTCAAAATCTTGTGGAAATGAAATTGAAAACTAAAAATTGAAAACTAAAAATAAATCAATTAAATTTTTTTTAAAAAGAGAAGCATATAAAGGTAAACAGTAAAGGAAAAAAAAAAACATGGGGGCAGCTAGGTGGCACAGTGGATAAAGCTCCAACCTTGGAGTTAGAAGGATTTGAGTTCAAATTTGGCCTCAGTCACTTGACACTTACTAGCTGTGTGACCCTGGGCAAGTCACTTAACCCCAACTGCCTCATCAAAAAGCAAAACAAAACAACAACAACAATAACAACATGGTATTCAATAAGGTCAAACTGTTACATCCCTACATAGGAAGATGATACTTGTAACTCTTATGAACTTTGTTCTATTAGGGCAGTTAGAAGGAGTATACTTAGACAGATGATGTGGATATAAGCTGAATTTAATGTGATAATAAAACAATATTAGGAGGTGAAAAGGGGGAGGCAGAATGGGGTAATTTATATCACATAAAGAGTCATGAAAGATCTATTACAGTACAGGGAAAGAAGAGAGAGAGTGAGCATTGTTTGAACAATGAAAAAGCTCATCAGATTTGGCTCAAAGAGAGAATAACATACATACTCAGTTGGGTATCGAAATTTATCATACCCTATTGGGAAGTAGGAGGAGAAAGGGGAAAAAAGGTGGAAGGGTGACAGAAAAGAAGGCGTATTTTAGGAGGCTGAGGTGAGAAACAAAACACTAGTGAGGAAGGACATCATGAAAGGAGAGAAAGAGAAAAGTATAAACAGGAGAAAAATAGGATGGAAGGAAATACACAGTAATCATAACTGGGAATGGGAATGGGTTGAAATCTCCCATAAAACAGAAGTGGATAGCAAAATGGATTATAAACCAAAATCCTACAATATGCTGTTTACAAGAAACACATTTGAAGCAGAGACACACTTAGAGAGCAAAGGTAAAAGGCTGGAGCAAAATATATTACACTTCAGTTGAAGTAAAAGAAGAAAAAAAAGCAGAGGTAGCAATCCTGATCTCAGACAAAGAAAAGCAAAAAATAGATCTAATAAAGGGACAAGGAAGCAAACTACATCTTGCTAAAAGGTAGTATCCACAATAAAGTCGTATCATTATTAAACATATAAGCACCAAGTGGTACAGCATCCAAATTCTTATAGGAGAAGTTAAGTGAGTAACAGGAAGAAACAGACAGCAAAACTATACTGGGGGGAGGGGGGGACCTCAACCTTCCCAACTCTGAACTAGATAAATCTAACCACAAAATAAATGAGAAAGAAGTTAAGGAGGTGAGTAGAATTTTGGAAAAGTTAGATATGATAGACCTCTGGAGAAAATTGAAAAGGGATACAAAGGAATATACCTTTCTCTCAGCTGTGCATGGCACCTACAAAAAACTGACCATGTATTAGGGCATAAAAACCTAACATTCAAATGCAGAAAGGCAAAAATATTAAATGCATCCTTTTCAGATCATGATGCAATAAAAATTATGTGTAATAAAGGGCCATGGAAAGATAGATTAAAATTAATTGGAAACTAAATAATATAATCCTAAAGAATGAGTGGATAGAACAACAAAGCATGGAAACAAACAATAATTTTATCAAAGACAACGACAATGAGACAACATACCAAAACTTATGGGATGCAGCCAAAGCAGTTCTTGGGGATAATTTTTTTTTTATCTCTAAATGCTTACATGAATAAAATAGAGAAAAAAGAGAAAGATGAATCGGGCATGCAACTAAAAAAGCTAGAAAAAGAACAAATTAAAAATCTCCAATTAAACATCAAATTAAAAATCCGGAAAATCAAAAAAGAGATTAATAAAATTGAAATTAAGAAAACTAGCCATTATTTCTGATAAAGGCCTCATTTCTCATATATATAGAGAAGTGAGTCAAATTTATAAAAATACAAGTCATTTCCCAGTTGATAAATGGTCAAAGGATATGAACAGGCAGCTTTCAGACAAAGAAATCAAAGCTATCTATAGTCATATAAAAATGCTCTAAATCACTATTGATTAGAGAAATTCAAATTAAAACAACTCTGAAGTACCACACCATACCTATCAGATTGGTTAATATGATAGAAAAGGAAAATGATAAATGCTGGAAAAATTGCAGGAAATTTGGGATACTAATGCATTGTTGGTGGAGTGTGAACTGATCCAACCATTCTGGAGAGCAATTTGGAACTATGTCCAAAGGACAATCAAACTATTTATATACCCTTTCATCCAGAAACACCACTATGAGGTCTGTATCCCAAAGAGATCATAAAAAAGGGAAAAGGACCCACATGTACAAAAATATGTATAGCAACTCTTTATATGAGGGCAAAGAATTGGAAATTAAGGTGATGCACGTCAACTGGGCAATGGCTGAACATTTGTTCAAGTGGTATATATTGTGGTATATCAATGTAATGGAATATTATTGTTCTATAAGAAATGATGAGTGGGCAGATTTCAGAAAAACCTGTAAAGAAAAAATCTGTAAACAATTGCATGAACTCATGCTGAGGGAAGTGAGCAGAACTAGGAGAACATTGTACACAGCAACAGCAACATTGTACAATGATCAACTATGACAGACTTAGCTCTTCTCCACAATACAATGATCCAAGACAATTCCAAAAGACTCATGATGGAAAATGCTATCCACATACAAAGAACTATGGAGTCTGAATGCAGATCAAAGCATACTATTTCCACTTTTTTTTCCCCACAGCTTTTCTCTTTTGTTGTTTCTTCTTTCACAACATGATTAATGTGGAAATGCATTTACATGATTGCACATGTATAACCTATATCAGATTGCTTGCTTCTTGGGGGGGGGTGATGGGAGGGAGGGAGAAAAAAATTTCAAACTCAAAATTTTATAAAAAATGAATGTTGAAAACTATGTTTACATATAATTTGAAAAAATTTAAATATTATTTCCAGAAGACAAAAAAAAAAAAACCTTCCCAGATGAGCAAATTCCATATACTAATACAGTTTGGCACTTTCTCTGCAAAAACGAGCAGAACCAAAAATCATCTGGTTAACTACCGAAACATTTAGGTGGTACAGTATCTAGCACAGGGGCTGGAGTCAGAAAGACCTGAATTCAAAAATCCTCTCAGACACTTAACTATCTGTGTAACCCTGGGCAGGTCACCTAACCCTATTTGCCTCAGTTCCTCATCTGTAAAATAAGCTGGAGAAAGAAATGGCAAACCACTCCAGTATCTTTGCCAAGAAAACACCAAATAAGATTACAAAGAGTTGAAGGCAAGACTTTGACTCCAGTCTCAATACTTAATCCATTTAATTACTTGGCTGTTTACAGCAGGAGGAGTAAAGAGCTCCAGCTGGTGGTTTCCTGGTAACTTTTCAATCATCGGTTAGATCCCCTTTCCTCCATCCCTTTGTATTAGAGAGGGCAGAAGAGGAGACATAATGTCAATCAATTAACAAGCATCTTTAAGAGCCTCCTATATGCAGGGTACTGTGCTAGATGCTGGGGATATAAAGATAAAAATGGACAGACCTGGCCAAGTCACTTAACCTCTCTGCCTCAGTTTCCTCAACTGTAAAATGGGGTTAATAACAGTACTACCTCCCAGGATAGTTAAGATACTTGTAAAGCTCTTAGCCTGGTACACGTTGTAAGTGCTTAACAATACTTGTTTCCTTCCATCTTTCCTTGGAGCCTGCGGTCCTTGACAAGGAGGTACGGATGACCCTGTGGGTCATGGATGAGTGGAGTGAAGCAGAGACCAGAAGCACACAGACAAGTCAGAGTTAAGAGCAAGGACAGGCTGGGCCCCTGGAGCGTCCATCCAGTTTCCCTGGACTCTGGGAGGAGATCCGACAATGCCCTGAGATGGCTGGGAGTGCGGAGCTCCTGGAACTGACCCGGTCACTTCCTGAAGTCTTTGTTGTTCCTCAGCCCCACCCCCCGCTGTGACCCCTCGGGCTGGGCGGGGAGAGTACAGATGCCACACCTTCCTGTCTCCAATCAGACTCACTTCCGGTGGCAGCCCTCCACCTCCCTCACACTTCCAGCTCCCTACTGGGCTTCTTTCCAGTCCGGGGACCGGGAGCAGGCCGGGGCAGGTTCCCCCGATTCTGACCCTTGGCCACACTGGGCCGTCGGCCACGCGCCTGCCTCTCTGATTGGCCGCTACCGTACCCGCCCCCCCAAGTTCGCCCAATGGGCGTGCCCGACGCCGCTCGAGGATTCCGGACGCACGGGGTAGCGGTGGTGGCCGGGGTCTCTAACAGCTGTCCCCAGGCGCTAGGCGCCATGAGAGGCCTGGGGCACGGCCTGTCAGCTCAAAGGTTCCTGCGGCTGCGGCTCCGGTCCCAGCTTCCGACCCGGCCCCGGCCGCGGCAGCTTGGGGCCCCTGGGGCGACCCTGGAACGGGCAATGGATGAACTGCTGGGCCGCACCGTGCCGCAGGCCCCTGCCTATGAGCTCCGGGACAAGACGCCGGCACCGGCCGAGGGTCAGTGCTCTGACTTCGTGCGTTTCTACGACAGCCTGGAAGGCGCGAGCCAGCGGGCCGAGCTGCTGAGCCGCTTGGCGCGGGGCTTCGGCGTGGACCACGGGCAGGTGGCGGAGCACAGCGCGGGCGTGCTGCGCCTAGGGGCGGCGGTGGGGGTCGCGACCCCGGGGCCCCCGCAGGGGTCAGCGCCGAGCATCTCCTCGCTGCCCGCACCCACCCCGCGGGAGCCCGGCGCCCTCCTGCAGGCGGAGGACCGGCTCCGCTACGCGCTCGTGCCGCGCTACCGAAGCCTCTTCCAGCACATCAGCAAGCTGGAGGGCGGAGTGTGCTTCCTGGTCCGGCTGCGTGCGGATCTGCTGGAGGCGCAGGCCCTGAAGATAGCCGAGGGGCCGCACGTCCGGGTAAGGGAGGACGCCGGCCCCACCTGTCCGTGCCCGGGCCCAGCCCCGGAGCCAGCGGAGAGGGCGTCAAGGTCAAGTCCAGAACCCTGGTTGTGCCTGGAGCCGTCGCCCCGGCCATTCCCCTCTATTCCCTCCTTCCCCGTTTTCCCTCTAGGTCCAAGACTAGGAGTACAACTCCCCTTCAACCCGCATCCCCACCCCGTGGATGGGAATCAATAAATAAGAGTTTTTTAAGCACCTACTTTGTTTCAAGCACAGTGCTAGGCGCTAGGAAAAATGCTAAGACCAAAACTGACACAGTCCTTCAGCCGTGACATACCCTGATGCATATAGTGCTTTATATGTTTCATTAAAACATACACTATTGTTACACGGGATAGAACTGAAAGTGACCCAAGTATATCATCATCTGGTTCCTCACAATACAAATAAGGAAACTGAGACCTAGAGAGACTTGGGCTTTCACAGTTATCCTTTTGCAGTCAGCAGTAGCAGTTGTGCTGTATGTACTATAATGTAAAAAACAGTGACCAGGATTTTTGATCCAGCTCAGATACCAATAAAGGTGGAATAAATGAGTCAACAAGCATTTAAGTGCTTTCTCAGTGACATGTTGTTAAGTCATTTTTTTCAGTCATATCTGACTCTTTGCGACCCCATTTGGGGTTTTCTTGGCAAAGATACTAGAGTGGTTTGCCAGTTCCTTCTCAGGCTCTTTTTATAGATGAGGAAGCTGAGGCAAATAGGGTTAAGGAACTTTACCAGGGTCACACAGCTAGTGTCTGTATTTGGATTTGTACTCAGGTCTTACTGACCTAGGCCCAGAGCTCTGTCTACTGAACCATCTAGCTGTGTGATATGCCCAGTGCTATGCACTAGGGACACAAAGACAAAAATCAAAACATTCTTCCTATAAAGAGTTTATTTTTTGGAAAGAAACAATTTATACAGATACAAGTATATATGAAGTAAATACAAGTAATTTTGAAGAGGTACAAGTAGCTGGAGCTTGGAGGTTGAGGATCCTGGAGCAGCGGAGGGGTTAAGTTGAGCAGAGATGGAGCTAAGGAAAAGGCAGTGAAGAGGGAGTACATTCCAGGCATGGGGGGAGAACCTCAGCAAAAGCCTGAAGCTGTGATCTTTTAAAAGCCCTGAAGGATTGCTACTGAACTTGTGATTTTGTTTGGATAAAGAAGTCTTTACTGGGGAAACTCCTATCAATGCAATTCAGTACCTTCTCTGAAACTTAGAGTCATATAGAGTTGCCTAGACCACTGAGAGGTTAAGGAAATTGCCCAGGATCCCATAGCCAGTATGTCTCAGATAGGATCCCTAACTCCAAGGTCAGCCTTCTCTGAATCCACTATGCCAAGCTGCCTCTCAAGATACCTGAAGTTTCCTCAATGTTGGAGGTCCCTGTGGTGTAGTAAAACAAGAACAAAGCTTCCAGAAATGAATACCGAGGTGTGACACAAGCAGGTTGTATGACATTAGGCAAGTCATTTAATCTCTCTTGGGCCTTATTTTTTTTTTCCTATTGTAAATAAAAGAATTAGATAAGATAATTTTTCAGGACCCTTGGTATAATGGATAGAAAACTGGTTTCATATAAAGTAGAATCAGGGTTCAAGTCTCACCTCTGACATATACTGGCCATGTGACCCCAGGTACATCACTTAACCTCTCAGTACACTAGGCAACTCTTTAAAACCAGAAGTTTTAGAGAAGATATCAGCCTACACTGATAGAGGGAATTTTCTCATCCAGGAGCTATGGTGGCAGCTAAATATTTGTTAGCTTGAATAACTGGTTTTTGTTTCTGGGATAACATGACATCACTGAAAACAAACAAAAACTACCTGAACTGAGCAGAGCATTTCATTATTAGTGCTAGTTATGGAGTAACCAGTTGCCTGCACCTTTTGGCCAAGGTAGAATGATGTTAATATGCAAAGCTTTTGGAAATATATATTTGATATGTAGACTGTACACTTTGACCTTTGAGAGTCAGCGTGATCTAATGGAAGTAGTGTTTCATGTCGGGGGTCAGAACTGTTCAGAGTTGAGTCTCTGCTCAGCCATCTATTTGCTAAATAACCTTAACAAGTCACTTCACTTTCTGAGGCCTAGTTTCTGCAGTAAAATGGGAATATTTTCCTTATCTATATCACAGGATAATTGAGGCAATCAAACAAAAATAACATCTATAAATAAACCCAAATGAACTATTTATATTATTATTCTTGATCAGGTGCACTTAGCCATTTATTTGTTATTTGTTTATTCATTTATTTATTTTCATTTGAGTAACCAACATGCCTTCCTAAGGCATCTTGATAGTGTGTTGAAAATGTTAGCTGGAGCTTTTTTTTTTCTTTGTAATTTTTTTCTTTGTAATTGCCTCCAGATTTTGAGTCCTTTAAAATTGTAAGGAGCCTCTTATATATATGTTAAGGAGTAGATATCAGTTACAAAGTGATAAAAATGTATGGTGATTGACATGTTGAGTTGTATTAGGTTTTATATCTGTTCCTAAGACTTCAGCTTCAGTCTTTGAATTCCTAGCCTACCTAGAAGCTTTGATTTCTAATTCTGCCATTGTCAGCTTGTTCCTTCATACTCAGTTGAAAACTAAAGTTAAAGGCATGTATTTAAAAGTTTCTAGCCTCCCTTTCATTCAAGGTTGTGCTGTAGCAGAAAAGGGCTTACAATACTTAGGCAGCTGTTTTGAACCTGCCCCTCTAATCCTACATACTCCTTTGAGTCTCTGCCATGGAAGGTAGATATTTTTGTGGAATCATATGTAGCATTTTTAACTGAAATCCAGAATCTGTGCTTTAGTTCTCATTGTTTCTAGGGTTATAGACAGAGAAAGTGCATATAGCATATTGCCTGCATCTTTACTGTTCTGAAGATACAATCTAAAAGTTGGCTTCTTTATGTATAGTATAAGTTCATCTTCATAAAATTTGCCTCTTTTGTAAAAAAATGTTAAATCATTTAATTATATTACTTAAACTCCCTGAGGCTTGTTGCTTAAGTTTTCAACTTATAAGGAAGTACAATGTTACTAAGTTCTCTGAAGCTATAAATCAATACTCTCTTGTTCAAAACCCTGTACTCACTTTCCAATACTTCTCCCTTCCTCTGGCCCAAATTCTTCAGTTTGGAATTTGGGATCTTCAGCAGTCTGCCCCCAAACTACATTTCTAGCACCATTTCCCACAGTAAACCTGTGTGCCAGCCAGACTGATCAACTCACTGTACCCTGAAAATTTCCCTATGAAAAACTCATTCACCAATCAATCTTCATTTCAGTTTTCTCCCCCTTCTAATTCATCCTTCACATTATTATCAGATTAATCTTTTTTTTTTATTCAGATAACTGATCGTGCCATTTTTCTGCTCAAAATCCTTGTTAGGCTTCCTGTTCTCTACCAATAAAATTCAGACTCCTTGTTAAAGGTACTCAAGGTTGTTATTGCATGTTTGGAAATTACCTGTTCTCTGCAACTTTGTTTCAAATGGACTCCATTCCACATAGTTTACACTCCAGCCTGTTCTAGTTCTCCAACTTAGGTTTTTCCTCATGATGTTTCCTGTGTTTGGAAAGCCTAACCTTTCCCTTCCACACAAATTCCTGCATCCCTTCCCCCCTCCCCAAAAAATCTTTGAAAGCTGCTGCAAGCTTATATATTACTCCATTGGAAATACTCCCACCAGAACCCTATTTAATGTTTTTATGTGTAATTCTAGGGATCTCGGCCTTTTTTGATTTTTAAGACACACAGCAAATAAGATGAAAGTAATGGACACTGAGAAGAAGCCATTGCCACTTCTTACCATGACCACAGCCTGATTTTGAGGGAAGAGTCAAAATTAGGACAAGAAAAATATGGCAGTCTGGGGCTATTTAATGTGTCAGCAAACTCTGGAAGTCATACAACATAGCCCTTGAGGGTACTGATTTGATAACTGATGGTCATAATACTAAACTCTGAAAAATAGAAGAAAAGCTTGATTTAGGTTCAGTCTGCCATTTTAAATGGTTTTAGAAAGATTCTCATCAAGACATCAGAATTGGCTAAAATAAAGTTTTAGCACTGTTTAAGGAGTGCAGAATAGGAAGGATAACACTGTAAAATCCATTTTTCCTCAGTGCTAGGAAAAAGGGTATGATGAATGTACCTACTCTTCATGTCCTGCCCCCTCCCTCCAAAAAGAAAGCCTAATAAATTGACATTTGTTTCTTATTTCTTGGTTAAAAGGAAGACATGACAACTGAGGGCTTGATGACATTGTGCTTTAAATGATGGAAAGGTTTGCTCTGGAAAATCTGGTGTATCCAGGACAGGGTTTTACATAACAGCTGGACTCATATCTATAGTGGTTTTAAGGTTTACAAAATACTTTCTTCAACTCTGTGAGGCAAGTAATAGAGATTAATTCACCTTAACTTTACAGAGGAGGAAATGGGTCACAGCTACTAAGTATCAGAGCCAAGATTTGAATCTGGATCTCCTAACTGCAGGTTCAGCACTTAGATCACTGACCAGTTTTCTTTTCCATAGATAGCACATTTCCAAATGAAGAAAAATATTGCATATGGTCAAATCAATAGAAATGTGAAGTAAAACTACTTAGGATATTAATTAAATGAATTATGTAAATGAGCTATTAATTTGATCATCTGAATCTGACCTATGTGCAATTACATACAATCATGCAATAATTGAGACTCAGAATTAGCATACCCCTTGTAGATCATCCGGGCAACCCCTTCATTTACAGATTGAAGAGATTGAAGCCCAGAGAGATGATGTACCTCAGCATGTGGCTCAAGGAAGACCACTTGACTAATCTTCTGACGTATGACTTCATAACATTTGATTTGAAGACCTTTCCATTTGGCTTTTCCTTCTATGTTTTTTTTTTCATTTCTTTGCCGTAAAGCTCTATCCTCAAAGAAATGTCATTAATATTAAAATGTCTGCCATTAA